TCTGAATTTACCTGGGAAACTTCGATTGGGATTACGTAATTCGTCGATGAGTTGGAGATCTATTTTGAAATATCGTAAAATTAGTTCTTGTTAATTTTTGGTTCGACGACACTTGTGATCTTTTTACAGAAAACGTGACATGAAACCTTAAAATTATATTGTGTATTAGCAGATCCAATAATATCTTCTCAAAATTCACAATTTATTAAGAATGTTAGCTGTAGCTGAAGGTGGCAAAATCCAGAAAAACGGCTTAATCCTTAGTAGATTTGCATGTTTCAGTGTTGAATGTAATGATTTTTTTTTCTTCAATCATCACACCTCAATCAAAAGCGCGATACACCCTACCCTGGGGGGTGGGAAGTGGGAGGGGCGTGCGTGCAATAGGGACATGCGGCTCGCCGGCGCCAGGGGCCCGCGCGATCGATAGCCCGGCTCATTCCGTACAGTCGGTGTCGCGGTGTGCGCCCGTGTCTGAACATCCGTGCTGTAGTGTTGCCATATATTTGTACTAACAGTGCTGTGAGTGTTCGTGTATTGGTCGCGGAGAGATGAGATAGTCCTCAAACTCTGGTATGTCTTCCAATAATATTTACAAATAAAACAAAATCTGAAGTTTTAACTTCTTTGAGAATGTTCCTCTGAGTAAGTGAAGTTCCTGTAGTGTTAAATCGAAATGATAATTTAGAAGTCTGTAATATGTTTTATTAAGTAAAAATGTTCATACTTGTTAAAATGGAGACATTTTCAACGTAAAAGTATATCCTTTTGCTCGTTTCTGTGTCAGTGTATCCATTAATTCCACGCCCTCTGGTGACCTAGAAAGATTTTCGCTACATTTAGCTTTTGCTGTTACTCCTCGTACAGGCAAACGTTATTACTGAACTTTGAACTGTAAGACGGCAATTTTTACATAAATACTTAATTCGGGGTCTTAACCAATAAGTTCAGAACCATCTTTACTTAAAATATAGTTTTAAAACTCGTGTAAATGTAAATTTTCTCAAATACCATGCACCATTTTACCTTTTAAGTATGTGGTTTACGCCACTATGCAGATAGCTTTATTAGCTACTAGGAAAAAACAATCTAATTGTGAATAGACTTTGCCTAACCTACTTGGACTTAGTCAGCTGCTCCCCCTCCAGTGTTCACCCTTCCCCGGCCACCCCTACATCGAGGTCAGTTGCGCAGCCGTATCAATGATCTGTCGACAACGGCAAAGGGTAACGTCTGTTATGTATCGAGTTATGCGGAAACTAGTTTTGTATAGGAAAATAATTCTTGATCTTATTTTATGTTTATCGTTAGCACAGTGTTTTGTTTTTTATGTTTAGTTTAAAAATGTTACAGACTCTAATTAAGTAGCAAGATAATGTAGCGTAGAGGTCGGTTATCTCATAGTATGATGTCATACATCTCTGCATATCTTTTTGCAGTTTTTGCGTGTTATTGCAGTGTGACGTCATCGACGTCTGGGAACAGTCTCTATTAATGTTAAGACAACAAATCGTTTACGAAACTGTTTTAATTGGTTTTTACCAAATCGTGTCATTTTAATTAAGAATGTTACTTTAGTATGTGATTTTTTTTGTTTTTTTATTTACAAACTACGAATAGTACTGAAATGTATCTAGACGGAATACTACTATACACAAAATAGCGTACTTTTGTACATACATTGTATTGCTATCGCAGAGGAAGACCAAAAAAAGTATGGATGGTGTGAAAGAGGATATGCTTAAGAATGGAGTGGATTCAGATATGATGGCGGACAGAGATGTATGGAAGAGCAGCACACACTGTATCGACCCTCCATAAGGGATAAAGGCAAGTTTATGTTGTGTTGCTATCGCAATTCTTATAAAGTATGTTTATTTAGCATGACAATCCTATTGGAAATTTTGTATATGTTATCTGTTATTTTATCATGAAGATATAGTTGCACCGATAGTGCTCGAGTTCTTTGAATGAAAAAAACAATCCTTAACTTCAGACTCAGATTACTTAGTATAAAAATTACTCGTATTAGTAAAAGCAGTAGGTTTCAAACCTATTTGAACTGACGTGTGTAGGCAAAACTGAGACTATACATTTTAACTAACAATTTAAATTGCTTAATGTAGATGAATAAATTCCGTGTTCATTAATTTATGTTTATTTATGAAACTCCTGCTAGTTTCAATGATGTCTCCTAAAATTGCAAATAAATGTTTAGAATGAACGCATCTCGTTATGAAAAAAAATCATTTTCTATTGCATAACATAAAAAATTGATGGATGGATGTTAGAGTTTGTAGCCCAAACGGCTGAAAGGATTTCAATATCATTTTGCATAGATGTAGAGATGTCTGGAAGAACACATAGGCTATTTGCATTTGTTTATTTTAATTCCGCGCGGACGGAGTCGCGGGCGAAAGCTAGTATTAAATGAAATAATGTGTCACAGTCAGTTCTCAGTCT